TTACCTATGATTAAGGATTCCCGAGGGAATCCGAAACGTCAGAAAAATAAACATCTTGTTCCAGTGATCGTTTCTTCTTCTTCCGAATCACTGCTTTCGCCTGAACGGCGAAGGCTGCGAGGTGGAAAGCTTCGAATCCTGGATCACACCAGCATCTCTTCTTTCCGGAGGTCGTTTCTGCTACTTATATGTTGGTGTTTCTGACCCCCCCCTCACCATCTTATAATTGCCATCATTCCGCTGTATTTTCGACGCTAAAAATCTCCTAAACTAACACCAGATTTGCAAATATTCCCAGGTTAGACACGAAAATTAAAGTCTGCAAACATATCTTTTCAGTGCTTGATGATTGAGCCTATGGAGCGTCATGGATGCTGAAAATCGGACAAGGGTTATAAATGTCTTACGGTATAAAACTCGTCGTTCTCACATGCTAACCTGCATGGCGAGGTTAGCATGTTGAGATCATTGGGTCTGAGAGAAGGCAGAAGTAGGGTAGACTGTAGGCAATTTACTCGACCTAGGGTCAAATGTGTTTGTCTGCAAGTAGTGCTATAAATAGTAACCGTCAATGCACCATTTGGATACGTTTGGAAGAAGGTCAAGTTGGCTTTGAGGCAAGATAATAACGACTAAAAATCTGACCATCAGATATTTACGAAACCCGTTCCAACCCTCTGAGAGATGGGGAAGCAGGATAGACCATGAACAGCGTACTCTAAGGCTCCCGTGGCCGAAGGCTAACTCAAAATCCGCCTCCACGAGTCTTAGCACACCACGAAACGGTGACGAGGCCCCGACAGCAAGCATCCCCAGGCCACTCACGCTGTCAGGAGTCAATGATACCTTGCGTCCTCACACCTCCCTACAAAATGCGAGCCAAGGACGACGGGACGACATGAACTAATTGTCGGACCCCTTCTCCTCTCCTACCCTTTCCCCTCTCTGGTCCTCAAATTAAGACTAAAATCTGTCCCCCTTGTCCCCCTAATTAATACTGATTGGTTGCTTAAACTTTCGTTTACCCTACCCTCCCTTCTATTATTATATTGCCTGATGATGAATTAATCGAAAACGTCCGTTCGCCTAACTTGACTTCCTGCATATTCTACCTACGTTTAAGCCTAGCCCTAAACTTAGCCAGAACCTTAATTTCCTTTGAAGTTAGCAAAAGAAAAACACCTATATTGAGGGTGGTTCCTGTCCTTATATCCTCTTTTGGGAGACCATATAGGTTATCCTTACCGAATAATGATTTGACTCGGTAGAAGAAGTACTTTGGGAGACGTTGGTTTATTGGGTCATTTTCGAAACTGGAGCCCCGATTCGTCTTCAGACGCAGGGAAAAGTTAATGTGTCGATTTTCCAGTTAATACGAATGATTTGACGATCCTTCAAAGCTATGATTGAGACGATCGCTCTTTCGTGCCTTTCAAGACCTTTAAGGGATGCGTCACCCTTATAGTGTTCATAATACCATTTTTGCGGTTTAGCAGCGAAGCCTGTTTCGTTGTTCACCTGTCCGGGATCAACTGAGCTTCATTTACTCCCGTAATGGTGACTTTTTTCGTCTTCATCATATTTTATCGATCCGACAACTGACCTGAGTTCATCCACCCCTTAAGCGTTTACACAAGCAGAGGATAGCACCAATTTCACGCCTCCAACTCTGCAAAGCGTTCGGGACTTGCGTGTACCATTCCTAAAGTGACTCGATCCCCGTTAACAGGGCTATGAGGTCGCTATTTTGCTTCACTTGACAGGAATTGACCTTGACTGCTCTGTGGCAGCAGCAAAGTTGTCGAAGTCATAAGTGTTGTAACAGTGACATCTGCATGTTTTCACCATCTAATTATGCCCTCTGGAATCCCCACAGAAGAACACAATAAGAAGAGCGTAACTTTGGAATTCACCCGGACGAATGTTTATTGTATACAAAACCCGGAGTTGCTGTCTCGAGTGGCTGTGGCCACTGGCTGATCTCCAGTGCGCTTTTTTCCCGCCTCGGGGCAAAGCACGGTAATGGGACGGACTGTCGGCGTCCTTGCAGTCGGGTGTGCAACTCACTGTCTTAGATGTGACAGTGGCTTATAAGTGTTTGTCAAGCATGTTCGCTTGTGGCATTATTAGACGCGTTAGGTTAAAGTCACCTCCTACGTGAGGCACCTAAGTGGCCCTTGAGGAACTGCGACCAATTGGGCATGCGCGTGGACGCACGTGCGTGTGCCTTTAAGGTCATCGCGTGGAGGCTGTCAGAGCGAAGACACAAAGACATTGTGGCAGCCCACATTGATAAAGGAACCATTGTAGCAGTCGGTCACAGGCAGGACGCCTCAGAAAGTCTGGCATTCGGTTAGGCTACACTCCTAGCAGTCAGCACCTATCCTCTTGCATTGCGACAGCCATTTCATAGTCCATGCACCCCACAGCATCCACTTAACGTGGTGACCAATCAAGTCAGCGTAAACAGACCATCGATCATGAATGCGGCTGAGTAGCCTGGAGAGCCATTGGTATCCTTTCATACCTTATTCCAAAGCCTAGTATTTGACAGTGCCGTTCAATTGGGGCGTTCTTCAGTTATAGCTTATTTATCGCATCCCCACCGCTAGTCGATAAAAGCTAGCATTTTAATGTGGTTTCAGTTCTTCAATAGCTCAGACATCTGCCACACCTTGTCTTTTGTTGATGCAACGTCAATAGGTTCAGAAATTCTCTCCAGAGATCCTCCTTTTTCCAACCGTAGTAATAAATTTTTATACCCTTTTGTGGCCTACAGGTGGAGATTATACACAGAAAGGTGGACGTCAGCAATGCTAAGAGCAAGTTCGATTCAAGGTCCAACCTCCATTATAAACCCGGTGAGTCTCGATCTCCAGCACATGTGCATGTTTTCTCATTAATTCTCAATAGCTGGCTCCGTACCGCGAATATGTTTGAAGCCCTTTTCAGGGGTATGAATTTAAAATGGGCCATATAGATTGGGCCTAGTAATCTAGAGGTCCGCGAACCATGACTGATGCAACTTACGGCTCACGCGGTTGTCACCTCGATGAGGCAGGAAAGCCCACCAGAGGTGACAATCGCGTGAGCTGCGAATTGCTTCATTCAAGGTTTATCAGCCGGTCTATCAATAATTGCAAGGGCCTCCTTGTTATAGGGAAGCGAGCGGCCATGCACTCAGAGCCCACGGCCTGGAGTCATGCGCACAAACAAACAGCGAACGCCAACGACCGCTAACACAGCGTGAGGAATTATCGATCAGCGTCCACAGGCGACGATCGTTCACGTACCTTGAGGAACTATCGATTAGAAGGCATACGTAACGACCACTCACACAGCGTGGCAAACTATCGATCAGCGGCATGCCAGAACAGCGGTCGCATGCTATTGGGCCAGGCGTATTCTAGAAGGCCAGAGCCTAATAAATAAGCTGTAATGGAGGAGCTGAGGATTCCATTGTCTCTGCACTGTCCTGAATAAAGGCCTCCCATCAGAACCGCTCTCTTGGCATATTCGGTGCTGAGACGTAGTTTGGCCAAAGCAATCGGCCAATGGAAGAGGGGGAGCGCAGGCGAACGCATCTTTCGAACGCCAATGTCGGTGAGCCGGGTGGCCGAGTATTTATCACATCGACATCCAACAACACCAATCACGTGATTTTGTCTCCGTCCCTCTCATTTCCGGTGTGTCCGTCGTGGATCTGCGCGTACGCCGTCATTGGCGAGGAGCGCGCCCCGTCACGCCCGTCGGAAACCTCCAATTTGTGTGCAGAACTATAAAGCCTCTCAGAAGGGGCATCATTTACAAGATTACATATAAAATATTCTCTTTGGCCGGGTGCTATTTATATTATCACCGACAATCCCAAATCTACAGCTTAAACTTCGTTCTATTTGCTTTGCCAACAAAAACAGTCATTTGCAATTACTGAGTGTTTAGTTATGTCGGCAAATT